AAATCCCTATTAAGTTGCATTATACTGGTTTACATGTAAAAAACCCTATTAAGTTGCATTATACTGGTTTACATGGAAAAATCCCTATTAAGTTGCATTGTACTGGTTTACATGGAAAAAACCCTATTAAGTTGCATTATACTGGTTTACATGGAAAAAACCCTATTAAGTTGCATTATACTGGTTTACATGAAAAAACCCTATTAAGTTGCATTATACTGGTTTACATGGAAAAATCCCTATTAAGTTGCATTATACTGGTTTACATGGAAAAATCCCTATTAGGTTGCATGATTACACTGAAGTCCTTGAAACTGCTGAAGTCCTTGAAACTGCTGAAGTCCTTGAAACTGCTGAAGTCCTTGAAACTGTTGAAGTCCTTGAAACTCTTGAAATCTTGAAACTGCTGAAATCCTTGAAACTGTTGAATCCTTGAAACTGTTGAATCATTGAAACTGTAGAAATGTCTGAAAGAGCTGAAGTCCTATTAAAATGCATGGGCCTATTAAAATGCATTGCAGAATTCTCAATGCAGATTTTTGTCCGATTGCGGAAAAACCGGAAATCGCTGAAGTCCCAAAAGTAATAGCAATAATCTCCCAAACATGTGGAACGTTTTGATGTATAACTTGTGGAAATTGTTGAAAATGTGAAAGCTGTGAAACGTGTCAAAAAAAATGACGGAATAAAGAAATACAAAACCAATGGTTGACTGCGGAAGGTTCCGCAGTCAATCAACTATACTGATGATGGAATAAGGTTAGTCGACAAAACTGTCACGATGTGTAAACACTGTGGCACAAGAAAGACATGAGTGAAAAAACAGCTTCTCAACCACCGCTTATTGCCGCGGCATTTAAGCAGCCCCTTTATGCACAGTCAGACCGGGCTAAAGTCAACTATCCCGCGCATCCTCAGTTGCGGTCAGGGGGTGGCAGTCAGAGCTACACCCAGTACACAGAGCACCAGCCCCTCCCTGATCCTCCTGCAGGTGGTGAGTCCACAGGAGCCTTGATATTTCAGTAGGGAAAATATGCTATGTGCACTAAGTTGATTTTATACATTTTCATTGATTGACTGCGGAACCTTCCGCAGTCAACCATTGGTTTTCACGTTCTTTATTATTATTCCGTCTTTTTCCTGATTTTTGACACGTTTCACAGCTTTCACATTTTCAACAATTTCCACAAGTTATACATCAAAACGTTCCACATGTTTGGGAGATTATTGCTATTACTTTTGGGACTTCAGCGATTTCCGTTTTTTCCGCAATCGGACAAAAATCGGTCGATTTTTCCCATTGACTTATAATGGGGCTTCCACAAATTCATAGTTTTCAGAATTTTCTTCAACATTTTCAGCATTTTCTGCAGTTTGTGCATGTTCAGCTTCCACAACTTGTGAGTTTTCAGAAAAAACTAGAAACTTGCAATGGCTGAAGCCATTGCGATTGACTGCGGAACAGATATAATGTGGAAATCTGCTAACAGTTTCAAGGATTCAACAGTTTCAAGGATTCAACAGTTTCAAGGACTTCAGCAGTTTCAAGATTTCAAGAGTTTCAAGGACTTCAACAGTTTCAAGGACTTCAACAGTTTCAAGGACTTCAGCAGTTTCAAGGACTTCAGCAGTTTCAAGGACTTCAGCAGTTTCAAGGACTTCAGCAGTTTCAAGGACTTCAGCAGTTTCAAGGTTTCCACAGTTTCAAGGTTTCAACAGTTTCAAGGTTTCAACAGTTTCAAGGTTTCAACAGTTTCAAGGTTTCAACAGTTTCAAGGTTTCAACAGTTTCAAGGTTTCAACAGTTTCAAGGTTTCAACAGTTTCAAGGTTTCAACAGTTTCAAGGTTTCAACAGTTTCAAGGACTTCAACAGTTTCAAGGACTTCAACAGTTTCAAGGACTTCAACAGTTTCAAGGTTTCAACAGTTTCAAGGACTTCAGTGTAATCATGCAACCTAATAGGGATTTTTCCATGTAAACCAGTATAATGCAACTTAATAGGGATTTTTCCATGTAAACCAGTATAATGCAACTTAATAGGGATTTTTCCATGTAAACCAGTATAATGCAACTTAATAGGGTTTTTTCATGTAAACCAGTATAATGCAACTTAATAGGGTTTTTTTCATGTAAACCAGTATAATGCAACTTAATGGGGATTTTTCCATGTAAACCAGTATAATGCAACTTAATGGGGATTTTTCCATGTAAACCAGTACAATGCAACTTAATAGGGATTTTTCCATGTAAACCAGTATAATGCAACTTAATAGGGTTTTTTTCATGTAAACCAGTACAATGCAACTTAATGGGGATTTTTCCATGTAAACCAGTATTATGCAACTTAATAGGGATTTTTCCATGTAAACCAGTATAATGCAACTTAATAGGGTTTTTTTCATGTAAACCAGTATAATGCAACTTAATAGGGTTTTTTTCATGTAAACCAGTATAATGCAACTTAATAGGGTTTTTTTCATGTAAACCAGTATAATGCAACTTAATGGGGATTTTTCCATGTAAACCAGTATAATGCAACTTAATAGGGTTTTTTTTTACATGTAAACCAGTATAATGGAACTTAATAGGGTTTTTTCCATGTAAACCAGTATAATGCAACTTAATAGGGATTTTTCCATGTAAACCAGTACAATGCAACTTAATAGGGATTTTTCCATGTAAACCAGTATAATGCAACTTAATAGGGTTTTTTTCATGTAAACCAGTATAATGCAACTTAATGGGGATTTTTCCATGTAAACCAGTATTATGCAACTTAATAGGGATTTTTCCATGTAAACCAGTATAATGCAACTTAATAGGGTTTTTTTCATGTAAACCAGTATAATGCAACTTAATAGGGTTTTTACATGTAAACCAGTATAATGGAACTTAATAGGGGGTTTTACATGTAAACCAGTATAATGGAACTTAATAGGGGTTTTTACATGTAAACCAGTATAATGCAACTTAATAAGGATTATTACATGTAAACCACTATAATGTAACCTAATAGGGGTTTTTACATGTAAACCAGTATAAAGCAACTTAATAGGGATTTGTACATGTAAACCAGTATAATGCAACCTAATAGGGATTTTTCCATGTAAACCAGTATAATGCAACTTAATAGGGATTTTTCCATGTAAACCAGTATAATGCAACCTAATAGGGATTTTTCCATGTAAACCAGTATAATGCAACCTAATAGGTTGCATTATACCACCAGACCAAGACCCAAACGAAGACTCAGACCACCACCAGATAATGACCACAGACCAGGTTTCCTTAGTTACAGGAACCAAATTGTTTCAGCGGTGAGGGGATTTTTCAGTTTCAAGGACACTTTCAATACATTCAGTAGTTTCAAGGATTTCAACTGTTTAAGAATTTAACCAGTTTCAAGGATATCAGGAGGTTCAAGGATTTCAGGAGTTTCCACACTTTCAACAGTTTCCAGGTTTAAAAAAGTTTCAAGGATTTCAGGAGTTTCAATGTTTCAACAGTTTCAAGGATTTCAGGAGTTTAAAGGTTTCAACAATTTCAAGGACTTCAGGAGTTTCAAATATCTATCAAGTATTTTAACAGTTTCAAGGCCTTTTAAAGGATTTCAAGGATTTTTTTTAGCAGATTTCCACATTAGATCTGTTTCGCAGTCAATCGCAATGGCTTCAGCCATTGCAAGTTTCTAGTTTATTAATAATAAATTAAGTGTTGATAAAAAAAGACAAAACATTTTTTTTTTTTTTCTAATTCGAAAAATGAACCGAACCGTGACTCTGAACCGAGGTACGATCCGAACCGGGATTTTTTTTCAAACCGTTGCACCCCTACACGTAACGCTCGCGTCTCTTTCGGCGTCAGTTACAGCTTCAGTTCAGTAGTCTAGCCTTTAAACGCTTGCACACAAACAGATGAGTGTAGTGCTGATTCCCAGAGAAGATGGACTCAAAGAGTCTTTTGTGTGTGGGACATGACTGACCCAGAGGCAAAGCTAGAACAGCTCTGAGCTCCAGGGTCAGACAGGACACAGCAGGAGGTGTTGACATCCCAATAGGGTCAGAAGCTTTAAATGTTTAGTATGATTAAAACTCAAATGTTGTAGCTTTGTTATGTTGTCGGCAAAACAACCACTCAAAAACGGGTGTATTTTTGATTCACTTGTACATACTTCGGTGATCATGTATTTTTGTCATAAATACATGATCACTCTCTTCACCACTTGAATGATTGGTTCCCAACTTCCGATCATTTTCATTTACAAAACTCTACTTTTGAAGTCATAAATTGCATATTTTTTTGGTTATCTATAGATGCCACAAAGATCTTGAATTAACTTGTGCCGTTTTGAATGTTTTTGTGTGATTGAGATTACGGCATACCTTGTCAATAATGAATTGACACCAAATCAGGAGGTGGTGTAAATGTGTACGCTCAATTCAACCTTCATTACAACACCCCAAAACACATTACAAATGTGTAATTTCACAAAGTTATGTTAGGGCTAGTTTGTGTTATTAAATAACGTGCAAGATGTCAAACTCTATAGTCTCCCACTGTGGGATGTAAATCGGTGACCGTTTAACCGGTGGTTGACCGTCACAGCGTTAACCGGTCAAAGCTGTCGGTTAAAAAAGAGAAAAGGGGGAGAGGGGAGGTCTCTTCATAACGCTATTTTAAGCCCTATTTGCACGATGTGACGAGCGGGTCCCTATCTAGCTGTGTGCGCCAATGTAACAGTAAACTCTGGGCCGACTCTCACGCCGTACGCGCCACATATGCACGCACACATGTACACGCACACACACACACATTCCCCCCCCCCCCCCCCCCCCTCCATTGACACGTAACATCCACACGCATCATCTCTCCCCTGTGTTACCGTCTGCTAGTTGAGTGGCTGCATAGACTATGCAGCCACTATATGCTCTCCTACTGTTTATTATTATTCTTCTTCTTCTTCTTCTTCCTCTTCCTCCACTTCCTCTTCCTCCCTCCACCTCCTCTTCCTCCTCCACCTCTTCCACCTCCTCTTCTTCTTCCTCTTCCTCCTCCACCTCCTCTTCCTCTTCCTCCTCCACCACCTCTTCCTCTTCCTCCTCCACCACCTCTTCCTCTTCCTCCTCCACCACCTCTTCCTCCTCCACCACCACCAGATTTTGGCACTCTTCAACGCTTTCAACAAATTACACATCGTTACGACCGGCTTCACCGTCTCATTATTGCTATTACTTTTCACACTTCCACCTTTAGCACTTTTTTCAGATATTAACAAAAGTTCAAGCACTTTTTCCCATTGACTTACATTGGACCAGTACAACAGATTACTCCCCATACAACACATTACCACACTAACAATTCATCACCACAGATACAATACATTACAACATCTTACAACACTTATAGCACCTTACAACACATTTAGCACTTTACAACAAATTCAACACCTTACAACACATTTAGCACCTTACAACAAATTCAACACCTTACAACACATTTAGCACTTTACAACAAATTCAACACCTTACAACACATTTAGCACTTTAAACACATTTAGCACTTTACAACACATTTAGCACTTTAACACAAATTCAACACATTTAGCACTTTACAACAAATTCAACACATTTAGCACTTTACAACAAATTCAACACCTTACACCACATTCAGCACCTTACAACACATTTAGCACTTTAACACAAATTAAACACCTTACAACACATTTAGCACTTTACAACACATTCAACACCTTACAACACATTTAGCACTTTAACACAAATTCAACACATTTAGCACTTTACAACAAATTCAACACCTTACAACACATTTAGCACTTTAACACAAATTAAACACCTTACAACACATTTAGCACTTTACCACACATTCAACACCTTACAACACATTTAGCACTTTACAACACTTTCAGCCCCTTACAACACATTCTTCTTACTTCATCTTCTTCACTTCTTCCTCTTCCCCTTCTTCCTCTTCTTCCCCTTCTTCCTCTTCTTCCCCTTCTTCCCCTTCTTCCTCTCCTTCCTCTTCTTCCCCTTCTTCCTCTTCTTCCTCTTCTTCCCCTTCTTCCCCTTCTTCTTTCTCCCCCTCTTCCTCTTCTTCTTTCCTATTCTTCCCTTTTCTTTCTTCTTCCTTCTTCTTCCCCTTCCTTCTTCATCCCTAACCCTTCCAACATCTATGCAGCCACTCACAATGGCTTCAGCCATTGTACCATTTCTAGTTGCACACTGGTGCGGGTCAGAACTACATTGGAGCTTATATTTACACACACATACATACATGTATTGCACACACACACATAGCTTACATATACACACACACAGACATATACACACATACATACATGTATTGTACACACACACATACCGGTCTGTCGCGCTCCTCTGTGTCACGGAGCCCAAAGCATTCTTGCAAATACACGGCTCCAGTCAAACCACATGGACCATGTTTGTGCTGCTGGTCCTTGGCATCAGCTCCACACACATCACTTTTAAACTTTAGCGGAGACCTGCGAGACGCGGCTCGTCACTCGCTGCCCTGACCATGTGGACGAGCTGTCTTTTGCTTAAAAATGCTTTAAGCCGCAGCACAGAAGAATGGGAAGATTAAAACAGCAGTTCTCTGTGCGCAAAGGTGCCGAAGCTGTTGTGGGTTTTGGCGCCGCTGTCTCGGCTCTGATCCATTAGAATGCTCAGCTGCACATATGAAAAGTACGCAGCTCGAAATGGCTGTTATTTCAAAGAACGTGGACTATTTTAAACTACGCGGTTAACCGGTTGAAACCAGGCTCGGTGAAAATTCATAGTTTTTTACATCCCTACTCCCACAAATGTGTGGATTGTTATATGCACCTACAATCAGTGTGTAATGGCATTTTGTTCATGCGGGTCCAAGCAAAGACGCGCGACATCGTGGAGGCTGCGGGTGTCTGATCAGAGGAAGATGGCTCTGGGACATGTGGGGGTACGCTCTGGTACCTCCCGGTACAAGTTTGCCATATGATCCTGACTCGGTTCTCCACAACAGGCACAGGACCATGGTGTGCCACTGGTGGAGCAGCCCTGGATGAGAGACCATGGCCAGCACCACCTTCGGCCTGTACAGCTCAAACAATCACATACATAATTTGAAGATAATTTTATTTCTTTATATTTTCCTTTGGATGCTTTGGTCTGGCGGTCCTCCCCCTGGGCTGCTGAGCACTTCTTCTAGGAGCTGCTAAACGCTTTTTTGTTGCCATTTTAACTCATTGACTGCCATTGACGTATGTATCTTCTGTCAAACTTCCCTTTCTTCAACCGGAGATTACAGGACAACAAAACTAGCTAGAAACCAAGTTTTTTTTGCTGATGAAAGTAGACAGATCAATCTTTCAGAATCTGGTTTCATATCTCACATAATCACTGCACACAATATTCTGTGGGTCTTGAAAATCAGTAAAATCCTCAAAAACAGCTGGCAGTCACTGAGTTAAGGTCGCTCCATTTTTTTTCACTTGTAGCATAAATTAATGAATTCTGACTATTGGCCCGATATATCAACTGTTTGATATAATATAGCGTTTTTTTTCTTCTAACATGAATAAACTCACCTCTTCAGGAGTGCGTGTTGCAGGCCCCAGGATGTTTACAGATGCTGCCATCTCTTTACATTTTTTTTTTTTGAGCCCCTTGATACCACTTTTGAGGATTATTCTTTTTCCCACTTCGTTCACAATGGTCTCAATCTCCTGCTCCGTGAAGTTATATTTCCTTAGCCGTTTACTCACTAACCTGTGGCAGACCCTGCGCCGTACATAATTACGCATATGTTTTGCCTCATTCACCTCTGGCAAAGCAATGTGGCTTTTCCTTAATTTTGTGCATAAAGCCCCATAAACGCAAATGATCTTGCTCAAAACTGTCTCATCCACTGCCCTGTTCTCCGCAGAACAGAGATAGGATGCAACGCACATGTGGGAACTGGCTCACGGGCAGTATAGTTCGTTCGTTCGTTCGTTCATTCGTTCGTTCGTTCGTTCGTTCGTTCGTTCGTTCGTTCGTTCGTTTGTTCGTTCGTTCTAAATCTCAGGAGAGATGAGTGCTACATTGGGTCTAGACACTAGGGAAAAACGCTTGTATATAATAGAGCGTATTTTCTTTTCTTTTTTTTTACGTGAATAAACTCAGAAGTGCATGGCAAAGGCTCCAAACAGTCTTAGCCGACTTCCATGCTGATCTGTCGCAAAAACAGGGCGTGGAACAGGCAGTTTCTGAATATTTAGAGGCGTTACTTTCATAAATACGCTAGTTTTGAGCGCGGCATTTATTAACACCCGCAGGTGCGTACGCTCGAATCTGCGGATCTCACACATTCATAAATGCCACGTTGGATCTTGCGTATCTGGAATCTACGCCCAAAATGTACACCTTTTTCATAAATGAGGGCCATTGTCCCATGAGGCTTGTGTGGTCTGGGGGGCATTGGTGCTTTGATATGTAAGGACCCTGTAAAGTAGGGGAAACTCCTGATCTCTACACACACCTGTGGGTCCAAGACATAACTCTGTCCCCAACCAAGTTAATCAGGGACAGACTTGTCCTTCCAGGGAAAGTCCAATTTCTCCTTTAAAACACATGAAAGTCATAGTCATGACTGTATAATAAATGTGTTAATGTGACAGATGTTTTATTGTTTTGCCTCATTGAAGAAACGAGTGGAGCCATAATTTGAAGAGTTGGTTTTTCATTACAATGACATGAGTTTAAATAAGGCATTCATAAATCCTAAGATGTTTACTTGTACTACTAAGGATGTATTGTGACTAATACAATAAATGTTACTTTCTTAAGACGAAGCCAAAAGCACATTATTAGATAACTCTTACATAATTAAGTCAGGCATTCATGATAGCCTTCATGTTGAGTCTGTCTTTCTTTTCATTGATGGCCTCCAGCAGAGTGGTGACTTTTGTGATTCTCACATGAGCAGGATATTTACAGACGCAGACACTGTTTGAGACTTCAGAGTCTTTTTTTGTTTATGCAACATTTATTTTAAATTAAAAACTTGTGAGAAGGGACATAAGCTCTTAATTTAAGATGCAAAAACAAAAGCCATTATTATTTAATGTTACTTGTGAAGCTTGGGATGCTGCTAACAATTATTATTACCTTTGATTAATTGAGTGATGTAATTTATTGTTAACAGAATATTTAAAATTCTGTTATATTTTAGGGCATTTTAGGGCAAAAATTTATAATTTTTAAAATGAGCATAACATATTATTTTACTTGTAAACTTCAAGGCTAAATCAGCACAAATGTATTCTGTGCTATATCAATTTCAGATTGTTTTAGGTTTTTTATGCTAATGTTTAAAGGCTGAAAAATAAGTGTGTCTCTCTTTGCATTATGAGTGCACAGTAATAACTAGTTGGGATTTTTCTAAAAGCATTCACAATTATGATTTTGGTTCATTTTTAAAACCCCTTAAGAAACATCAGCTCTTGGAGTAAAAAGATCTATCCTAATTATTTTAGGAAATACAGAAATATTTTTTGGGTATTTGAACCATTTATCATTATGAAATAATTTTAGATCAAAAGAAGGCAAAATAGTTTAATAAGAGATTTTATCTACAATACAATGTTTTTTTTGATAAAAAAAGACTACATTTTGAGGTTCATAATGGACTTTAATATTGGCAGTTCTTGCAATTTAGAAAAATTAGATTAGACATTTTCCAACTTAATTGTGTTTTATCTTGCAGCTGTAGTTTGCATCAGTGGTGGTACAACCGCACTGTGGCTGTCATGTCCCTAGTTTCATGGCTTTTTACTCAAACACACAGACTGTCTAACTGTTTGACTGTGCTCCTCCTACTTTCCTTTCTCTTCTTTCTTTCCTCTCCTTCACATCAGCAGCCCCGTACTGCAGCATAGAGCAACATTTTCCATTCTATTATCTCATAGGTTTGACAATGTTCGAGAAAAAAAAAAAAAAAAAAAGGACCAAGCCAAAACTCAGTTGCATCATTAGCATATGGGCCTTGTGTCTCTCCCATGGTTAAGGCTTTGAAGTTTGTCCAAAATGCACTTGGGAAGAGAAGTTGGGGGTGGGTAAAATATAGGTCATACAAATTGAAGATGCTGATAAAGCACCAGTCTTCTGTGGATGTGATTGAAACAATAGATTTTAGGAAAAATATTCAGGTAACCCTCCTCAAGCTAAAATAAAGTGCTGTTAAATGTTAATACTATTCTTAGCTATTTTTAGAATTAACTATTTATTTGTTTTGTATGGATGGATGTGTTTCTACTGCTACTGGACACCTGAATTTCCCATACGGGGAAAAAGGTTTAGGTATGCTTACTGTGTCTGACAAACCTGTAAAACTCCTCTTCAGACCCTCGAACTGCCACATGAGTCTGTCCATTAATATAATGAATCTACTGATGATCGAGCTTGTCATTTTCCGGTGTATTTATCTGCACATGTGTTCTATTGTTATACTATTGTTTTTAATCATTTGAGTTAGGATTTGATTGTGTGGCCTAGTATTATGCCACTAAGATTGCATATTACTTAACCCTTTTGAAAAAGGCATTATAAATATACATACATTTATATAAGCATGAGGATAGAGAATTCTAAAATCACAACTAGTATTTTAAGAAATTTGCCTTCACTTGGTAGTTTATATGCCTTATTTGCTTATTTATATGCATTCATGCTCTTTTATTAATGCATCATTAGATATACTGTAGTGTTGTGGCCACTGGGGCCTTCTGACACACTTCCTCCTCAGAAGTGGGCTGGGGCACAAACATGTTGCCAGGCAAATATGCTCAAACACTGCAGGGACCGGAATGACCCACTGAACTGAATCCCATCCACTGAGCAATGCGTTACCATATCATAATGACAGATCAGAGCATGAAGCAGCGTTGTATGTTATAATAATGCATTGGTTTTATAAAGCGCTTTTTTGGAAAATCAAAGACAGTTTACATGTCATTATTCTTTCACTCCATACACGGTGGATATACACTCCGACCACCACCAACCATTCACACACACACCAATGGGGGTAAAGTGCCTAAGATACAACGGCAGTTTGGCACTTTACAGCCGCAGCCGCCCCACTGTGGCTGGTGTTCCCAGAGGTTAAGTGTCTTGCTAAGGACACAATGACAGCAGACAGTGGGAGTCAATGGTGAAAGTCGGGCTCGATGGACCTAGATTTCTCTCTCTCAACCAAACTTTTTTGTGCCTCCTTGTACAATAGGTCACATGATGTACAAATCATATTTGACCTTTTCTGAAAAAAAAAAGGGTGGTTGGTTTATATTGCAATGGATGATGTCAATAATATTTATGGTTTTCAATCTGATTACCAAAAAAAAAGCTGAATGAGGCTCTCAATTAATGCTAAAGTCGGGTCATGTGACTATGCCGGATCTACAACAAAGATTTAGTTCTGCTCAAACTTATACAAAATCAGCCAACAGCATTAATAACTTTTGTTTTGAAACAGGGTTTAAAAAGGGTTCCACAGTGTATTTCCTTAATCTTTGAGCCAGACTACGTGTTTTTCAAAAGGTTTCACTCTGGAGTTGGGCTGCACAATATTGGAAATTGAAGTGATATTCGATATGGGTGTTATGTATTTTTAACTACATAATTGTGATATTTTTGTCTTTCAACTAAAAATGCAATCTGCAATGAACTGCAAGAGTTAAATCTGCAACAAAAATTTAATCTCTAACAAAAAATAAGTATTACTTTCAATTGCAGTGTGGCACACATAGTTGCCAATTCCATAATTCTGCTGCATATAAAAATAATGCTAAAGTATTTCATATATTATATTTATTTCTACTAACATTAATATATTGCTATATATCGCGTAACGGCTGCAGTTAAAGTGTTGCTCCTGTTATGCCGCTTTTCCATAGTCAATACATAACTTAGTTATTTAAAATGCATGTATATTGTAAATCTAAGTATCAATTCGAAAAAGGAGTGAGAAGTAAAAAAGTATCTGATAAAAATCATATGCTTAAATATTTATTTTGCCCTTGTGTTTTGATCAAAAATAAAACCTTTTTGTATTTCAAATAATAAAAACTAGGGTTTTATTATTTGATCATACATATTGCCAAGGGACAGGCCTCTCCTTCTCAAAAATGCCTATGTTTCAACCTTTACTTCACTCTCCACAACAATGAACATATGGCCTTAGTACTTAGTTTTCCAAAGGAGTCGGAAATCAACTTTGTTCATTTGCACAAGTGATTACTTATTTTCTCATTTGAGATTTGAGAAAATTGAAATCATTATTATGAGTTACAGTTACAATTTAAATGTGTATGTTTATGAGAACTGCCTCTGCGTGAACTTTTTTTTCAAGAATATCTTTTGGAGAAATTAAATAGATTTTTACTTTAGTGCGACAGTGGCTCAGTTGGAGGAGCATTGGCCTTTGGGCCTGAAGGTTGTGGGTTCGAGCCCACCACAAGACCTACTTCACGACTCCCACTGATGTCTGCTGTCATTGTGTCCTTGGGCAAGACCCTTAACCCCACTTTGCCTGAAGCTGAAAGATCTCAGCTCATGTGGACTCACCACCTGCAGGAGGATCAGTGAGGGGCTGGTGCCAAGTGTACCGGGTGCAGCTCTGACTGCCATCCCCCGACCCAGAAATGGATTAAGGGAAAGAAAATAGATGGATAGTGCTCATATAAAGCTCCTGGTGTTTTTAATTAGACGACCAGTGACCCACTGTGCGCAGATCTGTCATCTTGCACTGCTGTAAATGCTATGTATCTATGTATAAAAGTAAGGTCTGTCTGGCTGTCTGCGTGTGCCGATAATAACGGAAAGACGTAACTAAAAACTAACTGAATTGAAACAGCAAATCGCAGCGCGCAGCCAGCTCCTGAGTCAAGCTTCCAAGTCCAGCGTATGTCTGTGGTACGGTCTCTTGTCCACCTCATGGAGCTATACTATTTTTCTGCTTTTGTCAGCGACTAAAAGCGTTAGGATCATGTAAACTTTGAGAACATTTGTTTTTTGGGTGTAAATATGTGATGCACTTTTTGGCTCAAAGTGGAGGAATGCAGCTTGATTTGTTTTCACGGGGATCTGCCTCTGTTTGAATGTCTTAGTGATCTGTGACACTTGACTAAGACTGTTCTAAATCTACAGTTAACATGGAACTGGACTTACTCAAAAACTGATCTGGAAACCAGTGTTATTCTCACGATAAAAGACACTAACACCGAGCCTCGATCTGTAAGTACTACTACTAACTCGCCGTTTACGTCTGTAAACTAAACAATTAGGGTCTGATTCTGGATCGAAGACATAGGGCTCAATGTGACGGAATGTCATTGATGAAAAAAGTTTATTCACAGGTGTGAAATGACTATGTACCGGAGATAAACAACTCACAGCGTGAGGCTACGTCACCAGGCGGGCTCACAGTCAGAGGAGCAGACTGCTCTCTGGATCAGCCTGTTTGAGTTCAGGTGACATCATCTCTATGCAAGAGATGG